GGAGGGGTGGGCGGGGGGACCTGTGTGACCAATGTGCGGTCACTCGCGACGCCAGTGTGAATCTACTCTGTTAATCCTCGTGGCGACTAGACCTACAACACGGTTCCGGCCCAGAACAGCTGGCTATTTTATGTGTTTCATTCCCTCGTTAATTTGTGTGTGTGTGCACACACGTGTGTGTGTTTGTGTTTACTGCGTGCCTTCCAATTCTCGGGATAACGTCTTTATTTAAAAACTAAATGAGGGCTCCACGGCTCTGCTTTAGTCTAGTCTTTTTGCTCGCGTGGAGTAGAAAGCGAAAGATTAATGGAAATCACAAAAAGGTGTGCGTTCTATTCCAACGCTTCATACGATAGCGAGCGCGTCTTCCGTGTGCTGATGACCTTGTCGTGCTTCAGCCAGGCGCCCTGACCAGTGTCACCCTCTGTCACTTCTTCTAGTGGCTAGTTTCGAGGCAAAGAGTTGACTCTGCTGTCCCCTTTGGGCGGCGCCCCTCCTCCCTCCTCTACCGACTCACCTTTGTACCTTTGTTCACGTCGCTCAGGCTCGAGGAGGGATATCCATGTACTCTTGACGCACTCCACTCACTCACTCGCGCGCGCGCGCACGCTCGCTCGGTGCGGGCTTGGCTGACGAGCGCGGGCGCAACCGCACGGCCTGAACGCGTCTGGGAGACTGACTCACCCACCGACCGGCCGACCGAGCCAGGCGTGTTGTGTTGGCTGCCCGGCTGTCCGCTTACGCCCCCCTCCTCATCTGCCTCTCGCCTCGCCCCGCCTCGCCCCGCCACCTCAGAACACCGCCACACTCAGACACCGCCGTCCCGCCCCTCTCTACGGACTTACGCTACGACGTCAATTAAACAGATCGTGATTATATTCGGAGGAGACGGCCAGGGAAGGAGTTCTGAAAGCAAGAGAGAGAGAGAGAGAGAGAGAGAGAGAGAGAGAGAGAGAGAGGAGAGGGCAGGGTAGCATGCACGCTCTGTACAGCAGCGGCAGTGCTGCCCTCCTAAAGGGATAGGAGAAAGGCCGGGGGAAAGACGAGAAGGAGAAAAGAGGATAAAAAGAGGTGCAGGAAGGCGCAGTGTGACTTACAACCTGATTGTCCCAGAGGGCCGCAGTGCGAGCCTCCGGGTGGGGAGTGTGCCCGACGCTTATGCACCACTGCTGGTTGTCGTCCTCAGAAGTGTCACCATGGGAAGATTCCGATGGATTCCGCCTATTCAAACTGCAAGAAGCGCGATATTGCCATGCCATGACTTGTTTTGATTATACTTGTGCCTAAAACCCGCCCAATAATGTTATTGTACAGCATAAAAACTTTGGTTTAACGACCGTGTATCTGCATATTGTATGTGTGGAGATCATAATTTTCCTTGATTCAATCGAATGCGTCCCCTGCCCTTTTGACTCGCATTCCAAAATATATTCTTAACTTCGACTCATCGTTTCCGTTGTTATTGTTACTGAATGCAGTTTTGCTGTAAAGTAGTTTTACAAATAATCGTAAAATCTCTTTTTCAAATCACTCTGAAAACCCAACAGCATGCATTGCATGCGTTATATAAAGCATGCAATGCATGCTGTTGGGTTTTCAGAGCATTCAGGAATTTCCGAAAAAGTTTTGAGAAAGGCCATTTCCAACAATGTTTTGGTCGGTTTTGGTAGATTCCATTTTCAGACTAATCCAATCAACGTGAAGCATGATTTTTTTGTCGATTTCGATACGATATTGTTTTGATGTCGCTTGTTGTTATAGGTGCCACCTTCGTATCGTTGACGATGCCTCAAACGACGAGTAGCATCGAAACGATATCGTATCGATATCGACGAAAAAATCATTCCTCACGGTGATGGGACCGATTTTTAAAAACTTTTATTTACGGGGTGTGCTTTCTGAGTTAAATGCGGACACCAGTAGTGACGACTTGGCACAACAGGAGGACGTGCTCGAGAAGGTCTTTGTAAAAGCAGGTTATCGATACAATCAACTTGTTATCAACATCCGCCCACACACACGGGCGCCCCCCGCAGCCTCGCGGCCAAAACGCATAGCGAGAGATAGCACCGTCTCAAGGAAGGATTTTGTGGTTTCCCGAAATAAAAGAGGGGAAGGGGTGGGACTACTGAGAGGAAAGAGAGTTACTGCCCGCTGCGTCGAACTTTTATCGCGGTATCCCGATGACTCAATGTCGCTCAAAGCTCGCTGCCCATGCACAGCTGTTATTAACAGGAAACTGCTTGACTTCATCTCGTCAGTAACAGCTATTAGGCATCTCGTATGCAGTACTTTCTTGAAAAAACAAACAAACTTGTGTATGCGTTATTTACACTACACTGTGATAATTAGTTGTAGGTTTATCGGAAAATTCTTTCATGAAGCTGGTCATAAAATTATACAATATTCAAAATTGTGAAATTACAAGCATAACGTACCGACTTGGAATCAATCTACATTCAAGAAAGGGCTGCCGAAAAACAACTGTTGTACAACATATGTTTTAAATTTACGAGGATAGTTTTTAGTGATAAGTACACCTTGTGTATGCATTATTATTTACTAAAATACAGGTCTTCCATGTAGGGAGACTGCACACATGCAACATTTAGGGCTTCGAGAGCTCAGATTGACAGGGCAGAATGCGTTAACCCGTTGCCCCGGTTGTACCCGCCTCGGTCCTACCCGGTTGCAAATATGTGATTGGCACCGCAGCGTTGCAGCCGTGCAGGCGGCCCTCCATAGTCGCTCACAATCGTCCGCGGCGCGCCCAGCGCCAAGGCCGGCGGCCGGCAGGGCAGCGCGGATGCAGGATGCAGGCGCGCCTCCAGCTGGAGAAGCTGCTGCTGCTGCCATTTCACGGTTCGCGGCCGTCGCTGAGCGCCGCGCGCCGCCGCCCCACCTCACCTATCGCGGGCGGGCGGGCCGGTCAACAAACGGTCGGTCTAAGTGTCAGGCGGGCAGCGTTCGTCTCTGCCGCGGCCCGGACGCAGCCCGACGCAGTCTCGGGAGCGAGCGCAGCGCGTCGCTGAGCCGGGAGCTCGTTCCGCGAAGCGCTCACCTGCTCGCGCTGGGAGCCGTATCGCCCTGTGACTCATTACTCGCCGTTTGACATTCCCGTCGCAGCAGACACGCCTCCGCCGCGCCCAGCCCGCCCGGCTCAGCCGCAGCAGCGTCTTTGCTTAGAGTGATTGTTACGAAAAGTCCGAAAAGTGATGGGTGGACATCGCCGGCCGGGGCCCACAAAGGTTGCCTACAGACTGCTGGGCGTGAGAGCACCGGGCGTCGCTCGGCGGCAGGGAGGGAGGGCGAGGTGTGCCCGTGGCCTGTCCGGGCGTGGCGGGCGCAGACGACATTGCAGCCCGCGTGGGTGAGCAGTGCAGCATTGCTGGATATACCCCCCCCCCCCTGCCGTTCTCTCCCAAAAATCGCTGCTCGTTGGCGCTTTAACCCTCAGAGCCCGAGATCACCCTACTCCAGTATTCCAAAGAATAATCGAGGCGAAGACACTGAAATCTCTTTTGTATTTTACTGTTTCACTGTGAAAAATATCATAGTAAATTTACAAAGCGTTAACAATTCTTGTTAACCATAAACGGACCCTTAGTTAAGAAAATTTTCTATTTTATAGTTTCGAGCAATATTTTTTGAATATAGAAGTTTGCGCCGCGTCATAGCGCCCTCTCACTTGTACAATCTGCTTTTGGACGCCATGTAGGCATTTCATGCCTGCTCGCTGCATTCTTCTTGTTCTTGATGTGTCTTTTTGCGTGATATTTTTTTGAATCAGCATATTAATCATTACTTTTATAATTGAACACAATTTTTGGCATGAGTGCTGGG